GTTCAAATTACAGTGCGGATACTTACTAGCTGGGTGACAGTGGGAAAGGTACTTTAATCCTTTAAGCCCCAATTCCCTCATGTAAAATGGGCTTAACATTATTTTGCAGGGATGTTTTAAGAATTGAATTTCATATGTATTTATATATTTTATATATTTTTTTACATATTAGATATGGCAAAGATATACATATAAATGAGATGGCAGAGATAGAGACAGAGACAGAGATAGATACAGACACAGACATAGATATAGATCTCCCCTAGCAAACCTAATAAATAGACTCTCAACAAATCACAATTCTCTTCTCCTGCTGGGCTGGCCCTGCACTTGACTTTCCTGCTGTCCAAGCTTATTTTGAAAAGTAAGCCTGGGTGACAGTTGTGGCAGAGTTGCTTCTAACATGGCAAATCTTCTGGCTGAGCCTAGGGGTGTTGGCAGGTGTTCAAGGGAATGGCAAGGTGCCTGGCCTGCCCTGGCAAGCCTGTCCTTGAGAAATAGGCCAAGGCTTTGAGTAGGACTTTCACCAATGTCCCAGCCTGCTAGGTAGCTGGTGACAGAGGCCGATCCTCTAGGAGAGCTGACCACTCTGCAAAGGCCATCAGTCTAGCAGCTTTTTGGCTTAAAGAAAGGAATTACTATGACTACAGCACAACTTCCCAGGGGAGAGTGAGCACTGTCACTCTCTACTCAGTCCCCAAGAGCCACCTCCAGCCCCAATGGTAATGCCAATACTACTCTATGTCCCACACAGCCAGAGACCGGCCCTCAGTCACACCACAGGGCTGTGAACACTGCCGTTTTTTTTAAAACAGCAAAACAGACAAACAAAACCTACTTAATGGAGGGTTTTATTGATCCTGCAAGAACTAGGTTGATGGCTAGGCCCTGTGGCAGTCCTTGGGGTGCCCTGGCGAACACCCTAGAGTATTAACTGGAGATTCCACGCATTCCCTAAGCCTTCCTCTCCTGAGTTGGTTGTGGTGGGAATGTGCCCTCTGCTGGTTGCCAAGGGTTGCTGCTGATCTGTTCCTCTGGAAGAACTGTTTGATTTTCCTGTTCAGGCCTCCTGCAGGGCTCAGAGATTGGCCTCCTCTGCAGGGGTCATCTCCTTGTCTCATGCTCGTCATGTGCTAGACCTTGTGGCGATGCTGAGAAAAGTCAGTAGAGTCTGCTCTCAAGGTGCTCACGGTCTGCTGGGAGTGGCAGATAGACAGACAGCAACGGCACCACAAAACTGTCGTAATGGTGACGGGGCAGAAAACCCTGTGGGAACTTAAGTGGTGTTTTTAGAAGAATGACCTTGAATCTGCTCAAATGTGAATCGGGTGATTTGCGAATACTCATAACTAATGACTCACCATCACATGGCAGGTAGTGAGTCATCCACGGCAAGATAAAAGGCGACCCAGAGGCTGACGGCAGCATCACTTTTGCATATGCCCGAGGACTCCTGAATCCAGTACAGGGAGTGGTGCTTGTGGCCTGATGTCACAACTCAGAGACAGAGCTTTGAAAACAGAAGGGAACTGGATCACAAGCAAAGAGCAGTGAAGGCAGGAGAACCAGCTCAGGCAAAGACTCGGTACAGACATAATTATAATGTTAAGAATTATGATAAAAGCTAGCATAGATTGTCACTTCTATACATTATCTCATTTAAGCCCCCAGAGAGGTAGATAGTAATAGCCCCGTTATTTTAAGTGAGGAAATAAAGTCCAGAAAGGAGAAGTATATAGTCCAAAGTTGTACTCTGTAGTTTGTACTAGAACAGGGGTGTGGCAGTTCACACAGCCCATGATCTTTCGGGGATACCACAGAACCTTGGGGAAGTTATGTGGCAATTCAGCCCAGGAAGGGCTGAATTCTTCCAATCGGCTAAGCGATTGCAGTAGTAAATGACTCCCAAATCTCTATGGCTTAACGCTTAAAGTTTGTTTTTCTCTCATGCTCAGTCAGGAACGTGGAGTGCGGTTTCTGCCTAGACTGCCATAGACCACCAAAGCGAAAAAGAAAGAGGCTGGAGGGTCCTGCAAGGGTTTCTCACCGCCTCACCCTAGAGCTCCCACATCACGTCCTCTCACATCCCTTTGTCAGATGCTGTCACATGGCCCTGCCCATACGTGGCACAAAGCAGCTGGGCAGTACAACCTCCAGGATGCCCAGGAAGGAAAGGAGAATAGGGTTTGATGAGCACCGATAATGACTCCCAAGGAGGCTTGACTGAAAAGACAAGTGACTTAAAAAGAGAGTCCTTTGGGGGAGTCACAGGAGATGATACTGAGTAAAACGTCTGCTGGTTGGAGGGATCATTCACTCGTTCATCTAACGGGCTTGCAAGGCACTAGGACCAGGTTCCGGGAGTCAAGGATATGTCAGAGCTCCTGTCCTCAGTAAGTTCGACGTCACTGAACTATAATAATTATACTACGATTTCATGAGCACTACAGAAGTGCAGTGAGTACCTAAACGAGGGAAGTTGGGGAGGCCTCAAGGAGGAGGGAACAATGAAACATGGACATGATAGTTGAAGGAGACAGAGATTAAGCTATCAGTTGGCTAGGGGCCACAATGCAAGGGACTTATATAGTTCAGTGTCACCATAGTGCTCATGAGACATCCACCTCCTATTAGAATCCAGGCACAGAACAAGGAACTCTTATAAAGATATCTAAGTCACATCAGGGAAAAGCTTAAATGAATAGATTTGTCTTTAAGCTCATGAAAACGTATTCGGTCTCCGTCATGGTAAAAGAAATGCAAATTAAAACTACACTAAGATGGTGCGTATCACCTATCAGATGAGCAAAAATCTCAAAGTCTGACAGCATACTCTTGTTGAGGTTTTAAGAACAGAGGCATTCTCACACACTGCAAGAGAGAGTGTATACTGATATAATCCCTGGCAATGGGAAGTTTGGGAACATTTGTCAAAATTTAAAGTGTATATACTCATTGATCTAGAAATTTCACTTGTAGAGATTTCCTCTACAAGTATATTTACCCTTGCGAAATGTTATGTGTACAAGATTATTCATTGTGGCATTAGAAAAAGATTGGAAACAACCCAAATGTTTATACTAGGAGACTGGTAAAAAAAATTGTAATTTATTTAATACAGTATTATTTAATACTATACAACTGTGCAAAAGAATATGGAAGCTTATTATGTATTGATACAAAAAGAGCTCCAAAACATGAACTAAGTGAAAAAAAGCAAAGCACAGTATAGTATGTAAAAAAAAAGTAACTTTTAGTGTAAGAAAGGAGGAAAATAGGAATCTATATTCATTGATTACATATGCATAAGAATGCTTAAGTATAACTGTCAGGATAAGCTAGATTATGCTACAGTAAGAAATGACTTAAAAATTTCAGTGGCTTGTACAACTTTTTTTTATTGTTGACATTATATGTCCATTATAATTGGGCTACAGCTCTGATTCGAAGCACCCTCACTGTGAGACCCAGGCTGACGGAACAGACTTTATGGGAATGTTGCAGGTTTCAGGGCAGAAGGAAAGCAACATGCAAAGTGTGAACTGGCTGTTAAAACTTCCATGTGGTTGTTAACCAACCAATACTTCTGCCCACATTTTGTTGTCCAAGCAAGTCACATGACCACTACTGAGTGCAACAGGGCAAAAATGTACATCCTGCAGGGAAGGTTACCATAAATCACATAACCAAGCCTGTTGACAATAGGACAGGCATGTATAAACCCCTCCTTGGGGAGAGAAACAACTAACTGTGAACAATAATGCAATCTGTCACTAAGAAGTTGATATAACAGTGACCATGTATAGGATAAGATTTGAGAAACTGGTGGATGAGAGATAGGAGTAAGACGGATACTTTGATTTAGCACATAAATATTTGAACCATGTGGATATATTATCTATTCAAAAAAATAAATAATTGTTGCCAAGAAGGTACATGAAAATCTATCCTGTGACACAAGTATTGAATACGTAACCTAAATCCACAGATATGTTCCTAACATCTTATTAGCCGCATTTCCTAATAATTCTTACTCAGAAGTGTGTCAAGATCACTAAGTCAGGCCGGTACAAGAACTGTTCTGCATGTTCCATGCAAAGAAGAGTAGCTGGTAGGGGGTACAGGGAGAGGCGGAAGTCTGTATCTAGTTTATCCAGTTTGAGGACCCAAACGATTCAGCGAGGACCATGGTAGTCCCTGGCCTTCACCAAGCATGGGATCCCAGGAACTCAAAATGGAGTGAATAGATAACAAACCTAGGGCATTTGGCAGGCATGTAAACAGCAAGTGAGTAAATCTCCTGGGAAACCAGAGTTTAGCACCAGGAAAGCAAGGCCAAGAATCAGCTCTAAGAGAGAAGGAAAGCCATGAACTTAAAAATAAGTTTTAAGGTTGGAAGCTAAGGCGGGGCATGAGTCAGGAATTGGAATGGAAGGTGAATGGAAGAGCAGTTCAAGGCAAAATACAAGAATAGCAAAAGGAACCAAGCAAAACCCCAAGTTTCTGGGCTGTTGACTGAGGGACAGACAGTCCAAGGGCTGAAAGTTTCGGGTCAGGATCCTCTAGTAGCACAGAGAACGAGCCACTCCCGCTGAGGGCTGGGCTGCCAGAACGCTATGACTGGGATTTCAGAATTCCATCTTGTGTCTCAGGCCAATATTACTGGGGGTTTATAAACCCTGGGGAACTTATAAAGGAGGGTCCTGAAGCCCAGAGGGTAGCAGGGATTGCTTGAGGGATTAAAGCAGTTATCTGTGCACACAGCTGCTGCACTGGCTGATGCTTTGGAGACAGCTCGTGCTGGCCTTCGTAGGGTTTCCACGGGACTGTATACGTCGCTGCTCTTTCTCTCCTCTGATACCATCTTCTATCTTCCAGTATCACTTCAACCCCTCACAGTCCATCCTGGTGATGGAAGGTGATGACATCGGGAACATCAACCACGCCCTGCAGAAGGTCTCCTACATCAACTCCAGGCAGTTCCCGACAGCGGGCGTGAGGCGTCTGAAGGTCTCCTCCAAAGTCCAGTGAGTCGATGCCCGTTACCCTGGGCCTAGCTGAAGCAGCGGGGACGGTCGCTGGGGACGTTCCCTTGCAAAACAGGATACACCTCTCTTCAGCTGTTCCCAGTTTTTCTGCTATCCCTGTAAAGACACCCCAGTAAATCTTTATTCTCCTTTTGTTTTCTTTTTTTTTTAATTTTTATTATTTTCAAGTATACAGTACTATGGTTAGACATCTATATAGTTAGTAAAATGATCCCCCCAATTGCTCCCTCCCTCCCCTGACCGTCTACCTAGCCAATGTATTAATGCTAATTACATTCCTTATGCCATGCTTCCCATCCCCATGACCATCCATCAGCTAATTTGTACTTCTTTAACCCTTCACCCCATTCTCCCAGCCCCCCAAATCCCTCTCCCCTCTGTCCATCACCACATTGTCCACTATATTTGTGAGTGTGTTTTTGATCAGTTTGTTCTTTTTATTCCTTAATTTCCGCATATAAGTGAAATCATATAGTGTTTATCTTTCTCTGTCTGACTTAAATACCTCTAGGTTCATCACAGCAATATCTTTTTCCATCCCCTTCCTTTTCGTATGTAAGGGTCTTGTTTTCTTATCCTTTTAGCCACTCCATCCCTTGGTTGGAGCACTGAATTCTTTTCCCTTTAAATACTTATTGGCTAGGAATGTAGTTATTACCATTCTTTACTCTGTTTTCAATACATGATTTTTCTTCTTCAAGAAGTCCCTTCGACGTTTCTTGTAATACTGGCTTGGTGATGATAAATTCCTTTAGCTTATTTTTGTCTGGGAAGCTCTTCATCTGTCCTTCAGCTCTAAAGGAGAGC